CATTATGACAGAGAATCAGAGCAGCCACATTTTACACTGAAGCAGTGCTCAGGACAGGGAATGATCTGCCCCCCAACACAAGGTCAAAAAGATGGCCCAAGCCTCCTGTTGGAACTGGATTTGGTAGCTAAACCTTCTGTGCTCATTTTAGCCTGGTTTTGTAATACAGGCTCTCTCCTGGTGCCTGTCTTACAGATGAGTAAACTGAGGCACAGAGCGATTGTGTAACTTGCCCAAGGTCATACAGCTAGTGAATGGTAAACTGGGGTTTGAGTTCAACAGACTGGCTTCTGAACCTCCACCCTCAGTGACTATGTCACAGGGGCTTGTGGGGAGCTGCTAGTCATCTTGCGTGCTTGAGGCCATTTCAGAGTCCTCTAGGATCACCTCACAGTCCTTTCAAGGATGCTTGTCACTTTCTTGCTCTTGGGCGCCTGCTTAAGCTGAGTTTTCAGCCAGAAACAACCCTCTGCCCACTGTCTTCAAGCTCCTACTTCCACAGGCTTAAGTGAGTCCTCCCTCTTCTGTTCTCTTCTTCTAATGTTCTAGGAGGCTCAAGACAGCCTGTGTTCTACTGTAGTCATTTATCACGCTGATGTCCCCCACCACTACTTACTTGATGCAGAAAGAGCACAGGTTTGAGAGTCTGCCAGAGCTGTTGGGATCCCTGTTCTGTCATTCAGGTTTTGTCAGTGTACCCTTCACCAATAGGCACAGTTCTGACGTCTGTTGACTAGATTCCTGCCTGATTTCAAAGAGAAAGCTCCAGCATTTCACACTTGTGTCTTATGTTTGCTATGGAGACCTATTATCAGGTTCCGTTTCTAATTTTTACCATAAATCAGTATTGAATGTTTTTAGTGCTTTCTCTCTGATAAGATGATCATGTAATTTTTGGATTAAATGAATAAGTTTTTTCATTTAATTTGTTGTTTCAGTATTTACTTCTGTATAAAAACCACTCCCAAAAGGTAGTGGCTTCAAACAATGACATTTACTCACTCATCATTCTGCAGTTGGGGTGTGGCTCAGTAGAGCCAGCCTATCTCTGCTCAATGTCAGCTAGAGTGGCTCAAAGCCTGGAACTTGGAATCATCCACATGCTTGATAGTTGATGCTGCTACTATAAGCTGGGACATCAGTTGGGACTGTTAGCAGGAACACTTACATGTGGTCTCTTCATGTGGGCTGGCCTATCTGACAATATGGTGGTTGGGTTTCCAAAAGCAAACTTAAGAGAGAAGCAGGCAGAAGTCACATTGCCTTTTATGACCCAGCCTCACAAAGCAAGCTGCATCCCTTCTGCCATATTCTGTGCATCAAGACAGTTACACAAAGTCCTATTGAGTTTCAGTGGTAGGGAGACCAGACTCCATCTCTTGATGAGGGAGTGGTAAGTGGGGCTAGAAATATTGTAGTAGCTAATTCTGGAAGTTGTACTGATTTTTATTTCGTACTGTTTTTGCAAGTAACATTGCATTCTTTAAAATTTTACCTTAGAAAGGACTGAAGTTTATTATATGTTTCCACCTTTCAAATAGGGCACATGCCCCCAACTTAAATACTACTGTTACCATATATTTTATCTTGGATTTTAGTTTCTAATTTTTTTAAACTCATAGGGGATTTTTATACAATCAGTATAATTGTTTTTTTTTTTTTTTTTTTTTTGAGACAGAGTCTCACTATGTTGCCCTTGGTAGAAGTGCTGTGGTGTCACAGCTTACAGCAACCTCAAACTCGTTTGGGCTTAAGCGATTCTCTTGCCTCAGCCTCCCAAGTTTAGCTGGATTACAGGTGCCTGCCACAATGCCCTGCTGTTTGTTGTTGCAGTTACTTGACTGCCTTGCTTCCACTGAAGTGAATTCTTTGGAATTTTTTTCATTGGATATATATTGGTAGCAGGCTTTCTAAAGTTATTTTTGTCTGAAAATATTTTTATTTTGCTTGGTATAAAATTCTAGGTTAGGGTGGCACTTGTGGCTCAAGGAGTAGGGCACCGGCCCCATATACTGGGAGTGGCAGGTTTAAGCCTGGGCCCGGCCAAAACTGCAGAAAATAAATAAATAATAAAAAAGAAATAAAATTCTAGGTTAGCAGTTATTTTCTTTCAATGAATTGAAAATGTCATTTCAGTCTTAGCGTCATTGTAACTGATGTCAGTTTTCAACCTGTTGCCCTTTTTCCCTCTGGATGCCTTTGTGATCTATCTTAGGTCCTTAGGTCTTAGGTGGTTTTTTTCTTTTCTTTTTTTTTTTTTAAGATAAGAGTTTCACTATGTCATTCTCAGTAGAGTGCCATGGCGTCACAGCTCATAGCAACCTCAAACTTGTTTGGGCTTGAGCAATTCTCTTGCCTCAGCCTCCCAAGAAGCTGGGACTACAGGTGCCCACCACAACGCCCAGCTATTTTTTTTGTTGTTGCAGTTGTCATTGATGTTTAGCTGGCCCTGGCTGGGTTTGAACCCTCCACCCTCAGTGCATGTGGTGGGTGTAATCACTGTGCTACGGGCGCTGCCCTACCTTAGGTGTTCTGTAATATGTCTAGGTGAAAGTTTCCTTTAATCTCACCTGCTTGGAACTTGTTTGAATATCTCAATTCTATGAATTGGTGAATTGGGAACCTTCCTCTTCCCTTCCCCCCAGGCTGTTACTTCTTGCCCCTCCCCTGGCATAATCCTCATGAAGTTTATCCTTTGGAAAGTAAACACTGGGAAAGGAAGATGTATTCAGGCAAATTCTATTTTCTTTTGCTCTGTGACCTCACCCTACAGCCAAGGGGGCACCCAGAATGACTTGGAACTGGAAAAGAAAAATGATCTGGAATGACGTACACATGGTGCTTCAAGAAGTCACCCTGACCCACTGGCTTTACATACCGCTCCAGGATGGAACTTCTCAAAAAAGTTCCCGAGGGCTGACTGTGTGCATTTCTTCCTGACTTAGCCTCAGTGACGTCACGTTGGGAGCTTGAGGATTTCAAGGGCAATCCCTCCCACAAGAGCCAGCTGTCAAGCATTTACCAGCACAGCACTGGGCAACCAGCACAGCACTGGGCAGGAGGCATGGCTAACAGCAGCAGGGGTGGGACAGGGAAAGTTCAGAGTTGAGATAAAGCCAATAGGAGTCCCTCTTCTTTGTCAAGTTTATTTTATTAAAATATACAGGACCGAATATTGGTGGCCACTGAGAACAGGAACCACCCCATGGCCAGGGGAGATGCTTCTGCCATGCAGACATGCGGTCAGTCCTCATCCCAGTATGGGAGGCAGACCCCTTCTGGTTGGATGTGTAGCCAGTCTAGCCCTGAAGCCTTGGCCCTTTAGAAGCAGAGTGACACCAGCTGGGAGGCTGGGGGTGAGGGAAGGGAGAGAAGATCCCTGAGCCAGGGAAAGCTGATGCCCTCCTCAAGGAGGGGAGATGGGTGTCAGTGCAGCTCCGAGGAGGAGGCCCACTGCATGTGGGTGTCAAGGGGCTTCCATGGCCATCTTGTCTTTCCTCCAAGGGCTCTGTTCACCCTGGGGCTAGCTTTTGGGGGGCACCCAGGGACTCCTGTGGCTGAGCCTAAGCAGAGTTGGGCAGACACTGATGGAATGTATCATGTGGGAATGTTCCTGGAAGGGCCCATGCTGCCTGGGACTGGGCTCCTTCCTGCCAGGCCTGGGCAGGTGGAAGCAGCATCCCACTCTGTCCTGAAGTTACTTTTGACCTGCAGCCCAGTCACAGACCTCTCCTTCAGCGCCCACCATTGGCTCTGGCTTTGGGCTGGCATTGTCTCCATTCCCAGAGCAGAGCCCAGCCAAACAGAGTCCCTGCGGTTTGTGCTTTTGAATATTGATAGGCTGGGCTGTGCTTCAAGTTCCCACTACTATGAGGCACAGAATGGACCTCCCAGGTTTCTTCCCCAGGCCCGCCTATAATGGGGCTACTGGGACGCAGGCCTCAAGCCACCAGAAAGACTTTGCCTCTGAAAAGTATAGGGTCCTTGGCTCTCTCCATTGGCTGTGGCCTGAGGTGCTGAGGGTGCTTGTGCTTTTGTTTTTTTAATGGAGTTGGGGTGAGCCCAGGCTGATGGATGGTCATACTGCTTCAGGACGGGGGCTCAGCCAAGCAAGACAGGAGGGCAGAGGGTAAAGAGGAGGGAGGAGCCCCTTTTCAGGCCCCTCAGAGCACTGTCCCCAGGCTCCCTGGCTGCCAGTCCCTGAGCCATGTGACCTCCCAGGACCTAGAAGGACCTTGAGGAAAACAGTCTGGTGCTAGAGAAAGTGGATAGCCTACCCATCATCCCTACTGAGCTAGAATTGGGGCAAGGCAAGGCCTCTCCACCCCTCCTCACCACTATGGAGGTGGCAAACAGTCCCCTTAGATATTCCATCAAGAAACCCAAATGCTGAGCTTGGAAGGCCCTCCTTTACTGGCCAGAGGGAGATTGGAGCCCAGTGGCCCCTCACCACCCAAGCTTGCCCATAGTGAGTAGCCTGGTCCAGGCTCTGGCTCTCCCAGGTCTGGGTGGTAGGGGTCCTGGAGCCCCAAGGAAGCATCTCCAGAGAGCAGAAGGTTTGGCCTCCATCACATCTCTTTCCTAATCAGAGTTCCTTTGACCCCACCTGGCCACTCCAGAGTCCTGCCATGAGGGGCTTTCTAGAAGCATACAGTGGGCAGGAAGTGGCTTGGGGGGAGAGGCTAGAGAGTCCCCCTGCCATCCCACTGTGGGCTGAAGGAGGGGTGAAGTGGGTCCACAGGAGGGGGCTTTCTTTGGAGACTGAGCCCCTTCTGCTGGCATCCAGTGGCCTGCAGACCTGTTCTTTCAGCTGTTCACCCAGAGCCCCACTGCCCTGGGGAGGGCTGGCAGGGACTGTGGTCACATGGACCCGGTTCCTAGCCAGACTCAGCCCCTCCCTGACTTCTGTTCCCCTCTGCCAGCCCAGAGGAATTATATGTGTGTGTGTGTGTGTGTGTGTGTGTGTGTGTTGGGGGGGGTATCTGGAGCAAACTGTTCACTTTGCAAATATATTTTTTAAAAGTTTCTCATGTAGGATTCTCCTGGCAGGATTGAGGTTAGTTGAGGGTGGAGGTGGCAATAGCCACCAGCCCCTTGCCCATGTCCTAGATGACATTTTCAAACAGCTGCATGGAGCTCATAATGTTCTCATCCTGCATGGAAAGAGAAGAAGCAGAGGCCTGTCAGGTGCTGGGTGGGCAGGGGTAGGGGTGGTCTCCAAATCCAATCTTGAGCAGATTGCTGTCAGGGACTTGGACCTGAGCAATGACAGCTCTGTCTGTCTCACTGGGTAGATGGGAGAGTAGAGAGGTTAGATAGCTGGTCCGAGGCCACCTCAGATGGTAAGGCACTGCCTGTCTTCACCCCAGGGCTTGGCTGAACACCCAGTGGAGGCCAGGGTACTGAGGCTACCCTGGGAGTGAAGCAGAGGCAAGGCCCCTGGAGGTCCTATGTCCTGTCCTGCAAGGGTATTCCACAGAGGAGGCCAGCAGCAATGGTGGGATAGCTCCGGGTGCCTTTCCTCAGAATGAGTCCTTCCCAAGGACCACAGGGGCTAATCACTATCCTGCTGACCCCACATCTGTACTCCTTGACTTGAGAGGCTATAAGGGCAGGGCGGAGGGCGGGTCTATTGGGGGTAGGTGCAGAGGGTGCTGTGGGCTGACAGGAGGGGGTAAGTTTGGGAAAGGGGTGGAATCAGATAAAAGAGTGAGACTGGAGCTTGGATGCAATGCTCAGGAGGTGGGGTGGGCACAAAACAACTACAGGAAGGGTCTGGGTATGGGATAGGCTGGGAGCCATCAACCACCCTCCTCTGCGTAGAGACTGAGAGGACTGTGGGCCTGCCCAACCTACCAGTACCACCTACCTTTTGGCAGGTCTCCAGGAATTCATCAATGGTCACTACCCCATCCTGATTCCGGTCCATTTTCTGCAACCCAAGCCACATCCAAGGTGAGTCTGTGCCCCACCAGGTATAGACCCTGCCCTAGGCCTGAGTACCTGGCAGCAGATGGATGGATAGGCTCCCTCCTCCCAATCTCTGGTCTCCTCTGCCCTTACCCTGGATCCAGGCCACATAAAGTGTCCACCCTAGTCACCTCCCACCTCCTAGTTGGCTTCTCTAGCATCTCTGCAGTCTGTCCCCCTCGGACACTTCCCTGAGCCTACTTGGACTCCTGCTTCTTGGAATCTCCCCTTGCTCATCTGACCCCTCGCCTCGCTGACAAGAGGACCAAGTCACAGGATGGTCATGTGTCTAGAGGGCCCCCCAGTAAGTGGGAGGCAGAAGTTCAGTCCCTTTACCCTCCACGGCCACAGGGCAAAGGCAACTTCAGCCCTGCTGCTCTCACAGAGCAGTTCCCTGGAGGAACTGGGAACATACTTGGGAGGCCTCATCCAGTGTGGGACGCCTGCCTGGGGGTGAGGACTGCCCAGAAATCACGAGCCCTGCCCACTCAGAGACGCAGTTCGGTGGAGCATGGACACTGGTTTACTTTTCTTCTCAGGGGATTGTGACAACTTGCCAGGTTGGAGAGGCAGGTTTAACCCCCTTCATGGGGAATGGGGAGGCTCTGAGAGGGCAAAGAGTTTGCCCAGGGTTGCCCCAAGAGCAAGAGGCCCTTCCTCCACAGGGCTCCCTTTCCCTGGCAGGGGCTGAGATGCTCACCTGGAAGAACCGCTCCACGTGCTCCATGGGTGCGTCCTCCCGCAGGATGGGGTAGGTGTGGCGGCCCATCATGTCATAGATGGACTTCATGATGGCCAGCATCTCCTGGGGGGAGGCGGCAGCATGAGGGGGTGAAGAGCCACTGCCAAGGCAGCAGTGAGCAAGCTAGAGAGGTGACCTTCTGACTCTTGAAGGGAAATTTATCTCCAAAAGAGACTGGGGATGGATTTTTATATGCTTATCTTCAAAATTTGAAACCATAACAGCTATTTCAAATACCAAAAAATGCCTGGGCCAAACAAAACCTGTTTGTGGGCCTGTGTGGTGAGGGAGCCCATCTTCCTCCTGCCTTAAGGGACTACAATGCCCCTCTGACTTGGCAGGGGCTGAGGCCAGCATCCCTGACCTCTCCGCTTGGGTCTCCTTAGGCCCTCTCTGTAAGAAAGGATGGCCAGAGAACATCAGCTGAGGTAGACTGAGATGTGTGGTGTGGGACACAGAAGTCCCCTCTAGATACTTGGGTGTCCAGGACCAATAGCATGGGAGAGGAGAGCCCACAGACTACTGTCCCTAGGGCCAGGCTGAGTCCTGTTTCTGGATGGGAGAGGAGGAGAACAGCCAGGCAGCAGGAGGTCAGGAGGGACAGCCAGGCCTCCACCCCCAACATCCCTGATACCTCTTTGGTGATGTAGCCATCCTTGTTAATGTCATAGAGATTAAAGGCCCACTTGAGCTTCTCATGGACTGTTCCTCGCAGTAGGATGGAGAGCCCGACCACGAAGTCCTGGGGAGGAAAAGTGAAGGGTGCCAGTGTAATGCCCAGATTCTATTTCCAGGTTATTGTGTGGCTTCTACTGAAATTCACATCTCTACAGATGAGGAGCCTCCACGATAGGCACACAGACGCCCATTCAGGTAGCATGACGTGAGTGTGTGTGTATGAGAGTGCACGTGTTCATGCAAATGTGTGCGCATATGTGTGTGTGTATGAGCTGTGTGCCCGTATGTGTGTAAGAATGTGCCTGAGTATGTGGACCTGTGTGCACATGTGGCAGGGGTGGCATGGGAACTGCAACTGATCTGATTTGAAATAAAGATGCTCAAATATGGCAGCTTAGACTCATTTAATGCATTGCTGCTGACAGAGAACCCCTGAACCTGCTCTTTTAACATAGGGGGTGCTCTCCTTTCAGTTTACCAAGCGTCTGAGTGTCAGAGGTGCTTGAAAACTTTCAACTTTCACTTTAGACTAGTTGTCCAGTTCCTGAGTTATGACATGCTGTGTGTGGCCATCACTTCTGGCCTATGAATAATTTATTATTCATACGTGACAAAACATGACAGTCCAAATGGTTTCCACATGAAAACTTCAAGTGTTTTGTTAGAGCAGTTGGTGGAAAGCAGCTCTTTCCCCCATTTCCTGGAGGACTTTCAGGCTAAGTCCTCCCTGTACTAAGTGGTCCCTGGGGGCTATTCTGAAAGCATGGCCAGACTGCAGAGGGTCAGGGCCATGTACCAAAGGGCTGAGTCTCCCTCAAATGTTAAATTTTCTGGATATGTATGAGGAAGCCTGTCCCACAAGACAGAAAGACAAAGTGAAACAGAAAAGCTATTTGGAAGAAAAAAAAATTATTCCATGAGGGGGGAAAAAAAA